CAATGTAATTGTTGTCAGGCTGCTGGGTGAAGGAGACGTCATGTCTGAGCCAGAGGTTGACGTGTTCTGACCTGCCAACCCCACGGTCGCCAGCTGCTGTTTTACATACACTCTACAACACCCAGGCTGGTCTATGTCCCGATGGTATCATGGCAGAAGATATTCGGAGACGTCTCTGGCGAGCACCCAGGAACTATTCGGAGACGCACTCCTGCACACAGGTGCACTGCTTGGGGGGATTTGTGGGGGGAGGGGGGGGGTAACTGCGTATTATTTGCTGCAGATCACACATATAACCAATAAATTTAAATTTGTTGCAAATCGATTATTTTCAAGAAAATGTCAAACTTGCAAGCAAAATATCAAATTATGGGTTAAAACACCTGTAACCCCCCAGATTTATTTACTTGGTCTAGAGGCGCAAAGCGTTTTGATTGGTCTATTTCCGTCCGTTGGAGCCGTCTCCGAATAGATACTGCGGTCCGTCTACGCTGCTTTTTGTCAACTCCTGACCTTCTAGCCTCTCCTCTTGCCTTCAAGAACTTCTATCACAGTAATAATCTGTTATCATATAGATCTACATGTAATTTTTTTTCGAAAACACACTCGTACAGGGTATATTTTCATTTTGTATAATGGCGGTATCAGTACTGCACATGATGTGTCTGAGACTCTTATTCTCTTCGCTTCGCCGAGTGGTTTCTCAAAACAACGTTACTTTTACTCACTGACTGGATTTAGCTGAAACTGAAACTGTTTTGTCCCTCTGCGTAAGCTTCCTCTGACCTCCAGAGTTGTAGCATGTCCCGTCAGACATAGATCTTGTCACGCAGTTTTGGGGGGAAAAACACACCAAATGTTGTTTAGTTCTTCATCTAGGCTATCTAAGTTAACCTAGGCCTACAATATTTAGTACCGATTGACCAATTTTGTTGGTACTACTAATGTAGAATATAGCTTACCTCCAGGGTTTCATGAACGTCTGAAAAATCTGTTTTCCAAATTTTGGAAAACCACTCGTCAAGAAGAAGAAGAAGAAGAAGAAGAAGAAGAAGAAGAAGAAGAAGAAGAAGAAGAAGAAGAATACATGAGTTGAGCGTTTACTCCAATAGTTAATAATTAGTGTAAATATAGAATGCAGTTTTTAACATATCTGAATATCCAATAACAAGATTGAACAAATGCAACTGTAGTGAACCTCGGATACAATGACCTCTGGTTGTACAAAATAAACTTGGCCTCTGCGAAAGGAGACCTCCTCGAGGTCTGTTTTGTATTGTGCATTTGTTTGGTTTTTTGTTTGGTTTTTAACTAATTAAAACGAACACGGTACCTCTTTTATAAGGAACACGTAAATGGGAAAGCTTGGATTCTACAAAATTGCTTCCTTGTGTTTTAGGGTGACAATTCCAACTGATGTGGCTTCGTACATTTTTCTTCTGTTGCAAACTTTATCTTATTACTCATTAAATAATACGTCTTACAAACGTATTGCGTATAGCACACACTACATACTGCACACACCAACTACTGACCTATCGGAGACACATAGTCGTTGAATGCAAACAATTCAGATGCCATTTTTGACGCACCGACACAAATTATAATTATGTGTCGTTGACACTCGCCAATCGTGTGTTTTAACGTGTGACGGGCTAGAGGGTGGGTCACACGGTCTGCCAGCACACATGTGGCTGTGCGCACATTTGTCTTAGACCGGTGTCTGTGGCGTAGCGTAGTCACACCTAAAAAAAACCCAAGTTCTATTCCCTAGTGGAGAGAACTTTTAATCGAGTATTTCAGTATTTCTTCAGGGATGTTTTATCCCTCTGGACCCAGGTTAGCCCTCACAAGCAGGGTCGGTAGCTTGCCTCCTAGTTGATCTAAATTGTGTCGAGGGGGGTGTTAAAACCAACATTATCATTTTCCCCAACCACTGAACTGTTTAGGCTAGCCTGTGGGTGTAACAAATTGCGCTTATATCTGTGGAATCACACAATATCATACAATAGGCCTACTTTTCAGTGCATTTTGAACGAATCGGCCTGATTACACAATGTGAGCTTCGACAGTTCAGTATATTATTTTGAATTATCGCTTCATATTTCAACATTGGCCATAATCTACAGCACAGGAATGGCATCAAAGGAGAAACAAGGAAAAAATGCCTCTCATTTGAAAGTAAACTAACATAAATTAATACGTACAGGCAACAATGTATCACGACACCAGTTTCGCTTTCAACGTCTATCTAAGACATGTTTGGTAAGGGTTCATATAACGCTCATACAGTCATCAATAAGATGCGGCAAACTTTATCAAATGTTAGAGAAGTGATGGCGATTTAGCTTCAAATGTTGGTCACTCTATAAGCAAGGAGAGGGAAAGAGGGTTGTGTCCTGCCCCCTAAGGATACTCCGGGGATTGAGGGGGGGGGGATCTAAAGTAGGCGCCACAATCGAAACTAAAATGGCTAACAATCATCGTCATCATCGATTTCATATATGCTCATCAGCGATATCTAACCGTCTTTGATATCATCATGATCATCCTCACCGTCATCCTCCTCCTCCTCCTCCTCCTCCTCCTCCTCCTCCTCCTCATCATCATCATCATCATCATCATCATCATCATCATCATCATCACAATTCCTGACAAAGATGGACATCTTTCTTCAGGTGCAACAACTACAGCAGCAGCTGCAGCAACGACTGTCAAGTGATTTATTTTTCAACCATGACATTGTCATCTCACAATCTTACGTTGTGCACTTAACTTACATCTTGCATCCATGAAAATAGGTCACGGGATAGAAAAACATATGTTTTGTGTAGCACCAAAAGAAAGAAATTAATTATTCTTGTTTGGAACCAAGCCTTGACCATCGCGTTAAAGAGACTGTATCAAGCGAATCAACCGCTCATATAGGCAAGGACTGTGGGGCACCATTGGTTCTTTCCCTTTACACTGGCACCAAATAGGCCTTTGACTGGCACCGTGACACATTGAGAACTGATGTCCCTGTCATTACTGCTTTTAAAATCCCCACACCTTTCTTATGATGAACGCTTGATTTCAACAAACTTGAAAGTAGAGCCCAAGAACTTCATTATAAGCAAGTCTCACAGTAGATTTTGATATGTAAGCATTATGTGTCAAAGGCGCTCGTCGTTTTTGGGCCGCATGGAGTGATTGGTATAGCCATAAATTAAAGCGTGTTTATTTGCTTTGCTTTTGGGGAGAAATATATTTTAAAATTATCACCTACGTATCTTGAATAGAAGTCGACATTTTGGGGATGAAAGGAAAACAATCGATAAAAGTTGCCATACTGGCGGAAAAAAAAGTATTTTATATGATGTCAATATTTTGACAGGCGCCTGATTTCATCAAGATACCACATATATTCACTTCTGTATTGGCCAAAAACAAACAAACAAACTAACAAACTGACAAACAAACACAAAACAGAAGAAAATACAGGGGTAATAGATAAACGAACGCATTTGAGGAATCTATTTCTGCACATGTAATGTGAGCAGTGGGCAGGGTCAGCAGATTTCGATGATTTTGAAAAAATATGCATTTTTTAACTTTGCATGTTTGTTTGTTTGTTTTAATAAGATTTTTACAGCACTTGCAACTCATGGCTAGGTAAGTGTCGAAGATTAGGGGTGGTAAAAAAGAGTAACAAACTCAAAAAAGAAGGAGCAGAGATAAGGACAACAACGGTTTGATAGAAAAAAGGAATAAAACACATCAAAGGGCTCGCCAATCACCAACTTGCAAGTATATTTTGACACTTTTATGTAAACCAAAGTCGCATAGTACGCCTGGCGCTTTACAAAATCGAATAATAGCAAACCCACAAACCAATAACGAAAAGAAAACAAACAAACAAACAAAACAAATGCAACAACACATTTTGTTTTCTGGTTACAAGAATACAACTTGTAATTCTTCACAGCCAATATGATCATGCTGACATCTGTGCAAGACCCACTGATGTGTATATAATTCCACCTACCATGGTACGAATCTCAATAAATAGTGGAAAACAAATGGCAAAAATACTCCCATGTATATATCCACCGATTCATAGACTTTGATGGCAAAACCAAGAATCAAACTAAAAATACATATAAACATTATGATTTTAAAATATGTAGATCATCTTGCGATATATATTATTACACCAGCAGCGAGTTTCAAACAATAGGAGAAAATGCCCCTTAAGCAGTGTGTTACCAGCAGATTATAAAGGCTGTCAATGAAGCCAGTTTTACTTTGAAATGAGGCAGGAAGCGGGAATACATGCAAAAGAAAGACCCAGTTCAAAGCGTTACAATCTAGACAAAATAGGGACTTGGGACAGAAGATGGTTGTTCTTCATAAAACGGAATCAGTAGAAACAGCAATTGCTGTATCATATTTCACTGAGATAATAGAAGATCAATTCCACTAAAAATAAATAAATAAATAAATAAATTTCACTACGTAGTTGCAGGAGTCCAAAGACGTGAATCAAAGCTCATGATTGAATTGTATTTCCCGGCTTGAAGCAAAAAAAAAAGTTTTTTAAAAAAACCCAGAGGTGAAGATATGTTCACATAATGTAGTGAACTCAGCACTTTATACCCCCTGTGTATTTGTTCACATAAGGCCGCCTGGAATTGTTCACTTCGTCTCGTTAGGGTGAGCTGATACCCATTACCCTTTGTAACTAAATTTCATTTTATGACAAAAGGGATGGATGATCTTTGGTTGGTGCACTTATAGTTGACTTCTAGGCACCCCCCCCCCCCTCCTCCAAAGAAACATTCCCAACAAAAATAACAAACATCTCCCCCACCTCACGAAAAATGAGTGTTTAAACAAAATTAAATAAAAGACCTAAAAAAAGTACAACCAATATACACATGCACACACATACAAACCCCCCCCCCCCACACACACACACACATACACACACACACGCACAGAAGACAAGGAGCCGCTTGTTAGAAAGGAATCACATCTCCGTTGTAATTGAGAAGCTTCCCAGCGCTCTCTTCACCTTGCGATCCAATCACCTGAAGGCAGCCAGTAATGCTTTCCTCCGGAGACAGATCGGCTTCTTTTGTCCCCATGGCTGTACGTACCCAGCCCGGGTGAAGAGCAAAAGCCAAAATACCAGCTCCTCTCAACTCTCGAGAGATCAAAATAGTTGCCATAGTCTCCGCAGATTTGGAGCATCTGAAGGGGAAAAAATGACAAGAGAAAAAAGTTGATCTGTTTTTTCCAAGAAAGATATTGACAGAATAATTCAATGCTGAAACATAATTATTATTTAGCATTGGTGGAAACTTAATGACATATTATGATGACCGAGGACTAAATTTTTTCGAAAATCAAAAGTAATACAAAACAAACATGTTTAGCATTATTCTAGCGTCTTAAGAATCTTGGTGCCTTTTAAGACTTTAGAACGGTAGATCTACTCCGGAGTAGATACCCCTCAGAATCTATCTAGATCTAGACCTAAATCTATCTAAGTATCTGATGTGTAGTGTCCATATACTTATCTCGAAGCACGGACAATGTAAGAATGAAAGAATATCGTACCAGGTGAGGAGATTGGAATTATGAAAGAAGGAAAACAGACCAAGCGAGAGAGGAGACAGGATTGAAGCAAGGAATGCGTATTACAACTCTCATACAGGGTTCCCACAGGTCTTTACAAAAGTCTTTTTTATTAAAGTCCTTAGTTTTTGTCACAGCAAAATTAAGGAAAGGGGGGGGGGGGGCTACACCCCCAAAGTCAAGATTATGGAATTTGAGTTGAAGGATCTTTACCTTCCTCAGCCTCTCCTACAACTATTTCATCGCATGAGAACCCCCCCTCCAAAAAAAAACAACCCAAAAAACCCCAACAACAACAAAACAAACGTATTTATTCCCATGCCGGGCATGTTTGTCACCGCCATTTCCTCATGAAGTCAATATTTTATTTTTCTTTATCGACCGTTTTCTTAAAACGGGACTTTTCTCTATACTTTTCTGAATAACTCCACCATTTTTCATCCAAGCTTCATGAAATTTTCGCAGAATGAAGAGAAGATGTAATACTAGAAAAATTATCTGTTGAATTTTTGATATATGGAATAGATTCTTGTTGGTGGTGTCTGGAGTGTGGATTTTCACGGATTTTTCGCAAACTTGAATGCTACCTCAGGAAAAATAGCTCATTAAAAATCTTCTCATTCATTAAAAAAAACAACAACAACAGACAAATTTTAGATCCAATGTTTGTTAACACGCATGCAAAAAACTATCAATTTCCATGAGCGATAAGTACGGTATTCATTACGTAAGACATGTCAACAAAATCCAATATGGCCGACGTATCCATGGAAACGAAACATTTTTCTCATATTTGATTGCGGATTTTAAGACTTCTTACTATGCTTGTTAAATGTGTGAAATTCGGTAAAATTCGGTCTCGTAATAAGCGAGATAGCCTTCAGGTGTAGCCCCCCCCCCCTAAAGGATAAAAAATCGTTAATTTTTTACACCAGGTTGTAACGTCCTTAAAAGGCTCTTTAATTTTGCAATATTTGTCAAAATATGGTCATGGAAGTTGTGGATGATGTTCCATTAACGCTGCTGCATAACATGAACTTGACAGTAAAACACGGCACACGGCACACAGTACTGGTACATAGCAAGGCAGACCCGTCAATTGCCAGATCCCACAGACCCCAACCAACAGTACGACTGTGCTGACACGCAGCGAGCGTGCCTCGCACTAGCCCAGATATAGACGTACAGAGAGCTACAGTATTGGGACCGGCCTTAGTGAGGAGCATAGCGTCTACCAGACATTGACGTGTTCTGCCTCCTGGACTTGGTGTTCCCATCCCTTTGTTTTAATTTATCCATCTAAGAAACGGAAGTGGGACCGAAGGAGGGGGGGGGGGGGTGAGGGGGTTTGGTTGGTTGGCTACAGTTGGCGTCAACATACTGCCATTTGCCAGGGCCGTGTCAGGGACCTCTGCAAGTAGGTACGGTTGGCTGGACTGGGAGAAGCTTTGTAAGACGCATAGACATTTTTCAATTTTTTAAAAAGAAGTCCATCCCCAGTCCTTGGTCCCAGACTGTATCAGGAAAGATTCAACAGTCGGAGAAATAAAAGGCCAAGCGTTATTTGGAAGAAAAGCTTCAAGGATCAGACACTGGCCTACAAACTTGATAACATACGTATAGCTCATGGTAGTGGGCTAAAAAAATTATAAGGCAAAATGTTGTAAGACAAGGGCCAATTGTGCAAATCTTTACATAAAATGCATTATGCTAAAATTACAACTAGCAAAATGGAAACATAAGTTTTTGAACAGGAAAACAGAGAAAAGAAGATACATTATTAATTAAACAAACTGAAGTGTGACTAAGTGGAGAAAAAAACAACTGGCAATCAGTACAAAGTAACCGTGCTCACACAAAAAGATGATTTCTTGCTATCTAAGATGAACACAATACAACGAACACGAACCAAAAAAATTGTGAACAAGATTAATATTAAAATGATAGATCCACTCTCAAATTTCCTTGAAATAAGCCACCCCAAGCTGCAAATGAAGAGAAGGAGGGAGTCAGGAAGGGAGGGAGTAATGAATTTGAAATTCTTGAAATTTTGAGGGTATCAAAACAATAAAAACTCACTTGTAATGCAAGAACGTTCCCCTTCCGTTCTTATATGTCTCATTCAAGGATCCCTTAATGGAAGAAAGATTGACCAGCGCAGCTTTGCTACAACTCATTGCCTGAGAATTGTTCTGAGCCGCGGCTTGCTCTAGGAGAGGCAGGAACTTCTGTGACATGATGATGGTGCCTGGACAACACAAACAAAGTATAAAGGTTACATTGTTTTGTTTTGGGGTTTTTTTGTTTTTGTAAAGTGTTTTACGGCGCTCGCAACTGCATAAGTCATATGAGCGCGCGGGACACACCTAATGTTTTCGGTCGGTAGGAAGTTTGGAATTTTGCCGGGGTGGCGGCCGAAGCCAGCTCTTATCGATTTTAGACCACAAAGGGATCTTTAGCGTGCGCAACTTGCACACGGGCCCTCCGAGATTTTTCGCCCTTGTCCGAGAAGGCTAGGTATAGATCTTTCCTACCAGAAGATCAGGGGTGTGGCAGAAAGACAGCAGTAAGGAGGAGCAAAGGAGTAGCAGTAGAAAGGCTGCAGAAAGAGTCAGGAGCCCAGAGGAGGGGGCAAAGGGGACGAGGGGCGGGGGCAGAAAGTGGAAATGAAAGCAGACAGCAGAACATTGCTAGAGAACAGGAAAGGAGGTGAAAGGAGACAATTTTAGAGAAGACAATTTTTCGGTCGCTACCGGGAGGGGGGGGGGTGCTAACTCTCAACAATCTAGTGGCCGTTTTGGGTGCTTGTTTCTTTTTCTCTGCTTTTTACCACTCTTTAATCAGATCATAACTTGATTTTCCTGTTCACGAAAGGCTAGACAAAGACAACCAAATTCGAAACCAAATTGCTAATAGATAACTTCTAATATTGTCTTTCCTGCTTTTTTCCCCCGTCAGTTTGTGTATTCACATCTGCAGGGAAATTGTCTGTTGAATATTCTGAAAACCTTTACTCTCACATTGCGTTTAAAAGTTATTATTACGTTTTCATTCCCAACTCATTATTGCTGCCGCGAATAAGAAGTTTTGTTAATTATCATGTCCCTACTGTTGAAAAAAGGTTTCGTGTGTGGCCTCTTTTCTACCTGGCTCTTAGTCTCACTTTCATTATCCTTTCAAACAAGTTACCTTCGCCTGTGGTCAAGATGTTAACTATGGAATAAAATGGGGAACATCTGGTTCCAGATGGCCTGAAGTTGTCTTTAGGCCATTCCCAAAGGGGGGATATTAACATGTTCTTATGCACAGTAAAATTGTAAATGGGCTGATTTATCAATGTCATGGTAATACCGTGCCGGAACAACATAAAAGGAACTGATGCTATTTCTTTATTCATTCTTACTATCGTCCTTTTTCTTGCACTTCTTTCGTACGTTTGTCCTTCTTTTGTGAACTGCTATTTCCGGGGTGCCTTGATAGTCAAAGCAGACTTTGTGCTGATGAGTCTAGAGAGGTGAACAGAGTAAGCCTGATTCCCCGTTTGGACTTCTCTGTTGACATCCACCCTTTGGCGTTCATATGACCTCATGCAGTTGCGAGCGCCATAACAACCCAAATAAGGTAATTGTGCCCTTTATTGAAGCAATATTTGGACTATGAAATTCAATTTTTAACAAGTCTTAATATTGTTTGTTAGTACATTTATATACATACAGTCAAAACTCGTTCGTGTGTTGTTGACGGATGCTTTTGTATGGTTTGCTTCTTCTTTCTTATCAAATATCTATCGTCCTTATCTTTCCTTCTTTTTGTGTTTGTTACTCTTTTGCAGCACCTTTAGTCTTCGGCACTTAGACTAGTGATTGCATTTCGGGGCATTCATAATTTGAATGTGGGTTTAACATAACAATTAGGCACATTAGGAAAGATGGGGTGGTGGGGGGGGGTGTAGAAGTCAGTTAAAAAACAAATGAGGTCAATAAATATTCATATCCCAACTGTGTTGGATAGCCTAGTGAGGTTACTGCAGAATTAAAGTGCATTTCCGAGCATTCATAACTTGAATCTGGGTTGAATATATGTAACTGTTATGCAAGTTGGGAGAGAGAGAGAGAGAGAGAGAGAGAGAGAGAGAGAGAGAGAGAGAGAGAGAGAGAGAGAGAAAGAGAGAGAGAGAGAGGGAGAGGGAGAGAGAGAGAGAGGTGGGGGTGGATGTCTGCTGAAAGCCAGCCCAGGTCAATAAATATTCACGTACCACACACAAGGAGCAATCATCTGTAATTCTGGTTTGTAAAGACGTCTAGCGCACCACTAAGATGCCTTTTGTTTCTTTTTAGATGTCTTTACAAACCAGAAAAACGGATGGCTGGTTCTTTCGTGTGTGACATGAATATGTGTCAAGACGCGTTGGAATCATGCGCTCGTCAATTTTTTGTTGGCTTATGGTGTTATTGGTGTAAACTTAAAGCCTGTTTATTTAATGTACTTTTGATGAAACAAAATACCCATCTGTCTTGAATGGAAGTCGACATATATATTAGTGATTGGAGGAAGTCGTGGTGGCTTGGTGTCAGATGTAAAATTAACCAGAAAATGGCCGCTAAAGTTTAGTGACTTCCATAGCAGTAGCGACCTTGGAAACTGCATGTTGTATGTGTGTGTGTGTGTGTGTGTGTGTGTGTGTGTGTGTGTGTGTGTGTGTGTGTGTGTGTGTGTGTGTGTGTGTGTGTGTGTGTGTGTGTGTGTGTGTGTCTTTGATCAAAGTTTTTCAATAAAAAAAATTCAAACAGAAATGTGACTAAAACCGGACATTATATGTTTGGCACCAAACAAAACATTCGATAGAAATTTCCCAATACAGTCGGACAAATGTTGATTTCTTCGATTTTAATATGTTGACGAGCGCCTGATTTCACTGCGATGTCATACATATTTGAACTGAGCTAGATACGTTACAAGCTGCCGAACTGGGACAAGGTCAAAGTTTTTGCATTTGCATATTTAGGGCGCAATCTGCATTTGAACAACTATGCAAGAAGCGGGCGCTTGTTCTTTCTTTCATTCTTTCTTTTTTTTCTTTCTCACTTTTCTTTCTTTTCTTTTTTTCAGTACGATTGTGTTGGGGCATGGAAGTGTTGTTTTTCTGAAAAACCAAACCATTATAGAAAAAAGTAAAGAAAGTAATGTCCGTTATTTTAAAGGAAAACTCGCGCTGTTTGGTTTTCATGAAGCGCTTTGCCTTGTCACTAGATGGTTATACTTCTCTGTCTCTGAGTCTCTGCTCTGGCCATGGATATCGAGAGGGATATCTCAGATGTAAGCTTCAGAAACACGATTAACAGCATTAGTAGGCATTTTTAGTTCAATGTTCCGACAGAGAATTGGACGAAAATATGAAAATGATGAGTGTACAAGTTCAATGAGAAGCCGATATTTTGTGTTTGACAGGCTGTATCTCAAAATAGATAAAGTCCTGAAAGAAGTAAAATCGAATGACGCAGTCATCATAATGGGAGACCTGAAAACTATAATTAGAAAGGGACAATATCAAGACATCATTGACAACTACAGATTAGGATAACATAACAAAAGAAGGGAAAGACTGCTAAATGTTTGTAAGGAAAAGAATCTAATGATAGCAAACACCTTCTTTCAACAAATAGCAAAAACATGTTGTATACATGGAAAAGCACTGGAGATGTTGACACATATCAACTGGATTACCTCGTGACAAAAAAGGATTCAGAAACAGCATTAGACAATGTAAAGCATACCCATGAGCTGACATAGACTCTGACCACTGCAAGAGCTCATTAGGAGTTGTAGAAGACAAGGAAGGGAAAATGTTATTTGAGAAAAAAGAAGTAGTAGAATTATCTGAGGATAAAAGGCCAACCTCAACCACAACCAAGCAACAATAATGACTTAAATACTCTAAAAATCAGAGATGGAGCTCGCAATTAAAAACACCCCAAAAAGAAAAGCCCACGGCGAAAATAGCATAAGCACAGACAATGGCAGATTTGAAAAAGAAATAAACATAAGAACAGCAAATGCAAAAACAAGATTAAGCCAAATGCAAAAACTATTTACATTCAGGGAATTATCTCTACCTAAAAGAAAAAAAAATACTGGAATGCTACATCTTCCCCATATCCCTATATTATGGCGCTGAGACCAGGACTTTGACAAAGAAGGAAGAAAACAAGATAGCTACGCTTGAGATGTAGTTCTACCGCAGAATGGCCAGAATGAGTTGGAAAGCAAAAAAGAGGAACAGTGAGGTGTGTTAGATTCTCCACACAAGACAAACCCTGCAGAATGAAATAAAATATAGAAAAATACAATCCTTTGGACACTTAACGACACGAGACCATTGTCAAAGAAGGGTATAGAAAGAGAGATGCAGGCAAAGAGAGCCAGGTAGTGATTGGCAGGTATCGATACCAGGTACTCGATACTTAGATACATATAGGTATCGGTATCGGTACCGATACCTGCTCTAAACATCGATACCTATGTGTTATTTATTCCAGGGCTGCCAAAGCAAGTGACTTGGGCCCTGAAAAATTTTTTGTTTATCAAAACTGATAAGTTTTCGTAGGGGGCAAGATTCTTAAATCAATCTAGTGATTTTTTAACAAAAAAGAGAGAAGTTTTTCATGAAATCTATCTAGTGATTTTGCAAAATCTTCACTGACAGCCCTGATTTATCCTCATTGGTTTAATTTAAAGTTGCTAAAAATCTGGTAAATTGAATTGCCTTTTTAAAACTCTTGTGTTTTTATTTTCCAATACTAACATTTTCTGCAAAGTTGACTTTCCTCCAATACTTCACTTAATTTTTTGTTTTTATTCTCATATTTGGGTATTTATCTCTCTCTCTTCTCTCTCTCTCTCTCTCTCTCTCTCTCTCTCTCTCTCTCTCTCTCTCTCTCTCTCTCTCTCTCTCTCTCTCTCTCTCACTTTTACAAATAATTTTTGTTTGAGTCTCAGCTAAATAGTCACAACTTGTCTAGACACGATTACCTAAATACTTGGAAAAGTATAGTTGTATTTTTGTCTTTACTTATTACCCCCGACGTATGTTACCAATAGCATTAGGTATCGAGGTATCAGTATCGATACCTTGAAAAAGTACTAGGTATCGACATCGATACCTAAATTGTGGTATCGGCCCATCACTAGAGCCAGGGGAAAACAAAGAGTAACATGGATGGACCACAGAAAAACATGGACCGGCTTAGATACAGCAGAATATTATGTAACGCCAGCTCGCGACCGTGAAGGATAGAGGGTCATAACACGTCAATCCCTGAGTCAGAGATGACACCTACAGGTCTCCAGGTATCTTGCTTCATGACTGTGCGTCTTCCACCTAGTTTTCCAGGCCGTTGCACATTTATATTGATAAAACTGCAAACTCACCAGAGCAATTGACATTGAAATGTCGCTGCATATTCTCCCGGGACTGGGTTCTGAGTTCAGAGCCATCTTGTCGAAAGTAGATGCCAGCGTTGTTGATCAAAAGGTTCAGTCCTCGCTCTCCTATAATCTTCTTTGTTTGCTTCAGATAAGAAAAAGAAAACAAATTAAGGTAAAAGTAATATTTATTTCTACCCTCTTAAATTCCCTTTCAAATGAACAAGCTTTACGCTAGTGATCTGATGGTCAACAATCAACACGTTATAAATGCCAAGTCAGATTAACTTGTAACTATATTATTTCTCAGATCGTCCCAGATTAAGTTCTTTCAAGAGGGATACAAATCCTATGTAGATAATTCTATCCTAGGCACTAGTATGTAGTCTTTTGTAGAAAGTATGCAGAGAATTGAACAAGGTGTGATGCAGGGACAATGGTAAAATCTGGAAGAAAATATGTGTGGCATCGTGATTAAATCAGGCATTCGTCAAAACAATGAAATCGAAGAAATTGACATTTCCTGTCCGCCGAACAATTCAAAAATTTTTGTTTGTGTTTTTTATTTTTTTGTTCTTCGTTGATTAAAAAATTTTTTTTTAATTTTTTTTTTTTGGGGGGGGTGTTTTAAGGTCAACATCTTTTACGTTCATTTTAAAAACGCATTTCTGTTATGTTTTTACTTTTAAAAACAAAACTTTTATCAAAAGGACAAGAATGTAAACATGCAGTTTCTAAAGAAACTACAGCTTTGAAAGTCATAGGATTTTGGCAGCCATATTTTCCCCTAATTTTACTTCAGACACTGGGCAAACCACACTTCGCTCAATCGCAAACGTCTAGGGTTCTGTTCAAGATATATGGGTATTAATATTTTTTAAAAATCAGAAGCAATGCAAATTCACAGGCTTTAGATTATACAAATATCTTAATCACAGAAATTGACGAGCGCGTCATTCCATCGCAATGTCACACATATTAATTCTACCCTGCCATACAGGAGCAAATAATCCGTCCAAGCATTCCAAAATGTATATCTGTTCCGTGCATATCAACGATCGTATAACTGCGTGGCAATCTTAAGATTGTGTTAATATTTTATATTTTGGAAATAACTCTTAAAAAAGAAATTCACAGCCATCTTTATTCTTTCGTTCATATCAAGGAACATTTACATATATTTTCAAAAGTGTAAAAATATTAAAATTAATATTAGAATTAAAATAAACGTACGAAACTGAAAAGCTCACAAGAGGGATACAATGCCATGTATCAAACTCAAAGTTCACATAGAAAATTTAATTTATTTAACATTTTGGAAATAATTATTTGAACAAATTCACTTCCCTCTTTATTCTTTTACTCACATCAAGGAACATTCATATGCTGTCAAAAGCGTAAAAATATTAGAATAAGAATTAAAATTGAAATTAAAATTAACGTATGAAACAGAAGAGCCCACAAGAATTATACAATGCCAGGTATCAAACTCAAAGTTCACAACGTATAATTGGTTTATTTAATGTTTTTGAAAAGGAAAGTTTTTATTCACTTCTATCTTTATTCTTTTACTCACATCAAGGAACATTCTTATTTTCAAAAGTGTAAAAATATCAAAATCAAAATTAAAATTAAATTGAGATGAAAACTGAAGAACTCACAAGAATGATGCAATCATATAAATACGATTGTTATAACATGCCGCGCAATTATAACATCGTTAAAACGCGAAGCGCAAAGTTTGCGCCGATCGGTAAATTGCACGGAATATTCCTTACTAAAACTCGAAGACAGTTAAAACAGCTGTCAGAATTGTCCAAGTCGGGGGTTCAAATAAGAGAGCTGTAAACAGCAATAGAGGCAATTATTACAGGCAAGAGACTCTTTTCAGACCGATATACAGATATTCCTGCACTTTCGATTTTTTTTACTAACTGTAACTCTCAAAGTAAGAATACAACTGCGCTACAGCCTTGAAAATTTATCCATTCCGCTTCCAACTCGGTTTTTTAAAGTCATCCAATCATTATCGAAAATGCGTTGCTTGTTTTGTAAATAACATTATTGAAAAAAGAATTTTCATCTGACATCTTCGATTTCTACTAGCACTTATCAATCATGTTTGCAAACCTGAGCTGCAGAAATTATGTCTTCGTCTTTTTCCACATCTAATTTGATCACTCTCAAGGACGGATTCCCTTTCGCTAGATTCTGCAGATCGATTGCGGAACTTGGATTTCGACAGGCTGCGATGAGTATTTCAGGTGCTGTAGGCAATTGTAAAATTTGTCTAACAAATTCCAGTCCCAATCCTCTTGATGCTCCAGTCACCAGGATCGTTTCAGCAGCTAGAGGCATGGTTGATGAGGTTCAATGTGGAAGTCGGAAACTCGTCGTCTTTGCTCCGTTGACCTGAAAGCACTACTGCGAGAAGAGCAAGAGGTTATAAACTACTGCCGATGGCTGAGGGCCAAAATCTACAGGCATATAAAATCTAAATTTTGATTTGAATGGCAAGTCTCAACTCATCGCATTTTGTATTTTGGCTCATCTAAATGCACCACTGAATAATGAACCGTAAACTACACGCTTGGTAAAACACATTCAAATAATAGCCGCCAAGACCTAATAACCTAGTTTTTTCAAGTCTTGCAATGCGGCTACTTCGAATGACACAGAGTAAAAAGAACTTGTATGACCTTCAGATGGTTCAACAAAATAATGTAACTGAGACGATCCCTTTTCAAATAATTTGTTTTTTCACTTTCATTTCCCCTTTGTCATATTTTGCCCATGAGCCAACTTGGTGACTTGGCGAGATTCCTTCTTCTTACGTCCAATAATTAGCTAACATAATCAGTGCTTGTGGCCCGAAAGAAATGAACAGGTTATTTAGGTAACTGAAATAGTTTTGAGTGTTATGCATGTTCCCTTCACTCTTCACCCCTTTTGGGGTAGAATCTCCCACTCTTAGCCTTCGAAAATCTTGCATAATCAGTGCTTGTGCCGCTTATGGAGTAGCCCGAAAGGGGTGAACAGGGTATATGTGGCAATGAAACAGTTTTGAATGTTAGGCATACACTGTTCACTGGTGATTATGAACGTCTATGTACATTTAATTTATGATGCCTGTGTCTACGAGTGAATTTGACTGCAACGATATTCCAAAAATAGGAAGAGAAGCAGTGATTATTTGATTATATAGACTCGGGTTGCATCTTAATTAAACTGTTTGTAAATTTACTCAAATTTTACGTACACCCTCTCTTGTTACTGTAAGTCTTTGGACATCCACGGACAGATGTGAGATAATTACACCTCAATAAAGAAATAAAACAAAAAACAAAAGCAACAGCAAAGTACTTTTGATCAAGTCGCCATACTGACATGATACTGCTCAGTGACTGACTGTGCACGGTTCAGGTCAGGCCAGGGCAAGATCGACGGCAAAAAGACTCGATGCCTCGATCCCAAAACTGAAAAAGGATCGAGGAATCGAGTCCGATTTTCGAGTTTGGAAGCTGCTTCAAGAGGGCTGTTTAGAGGCCATGACTTGAACACTGCTAAAATTAGCTCATAAGATCGAGACCTCGAGTCTTGAACACTGCTAAAAATAGCTCTTGAGACCGAGACCTCGATTCTCGAGTTTGACAGAAGTTTGCTGGCTAAGCCTGCGCGCGTGCCAAGACAAGTTGGCTTTCACGCATTTGTGTGTGTGTGTGTGTGTGTGTGTGTGTACGTGTATGTGTGTTGTGTGTGTTTGCGTGTGTGTGTGTGTGTGTGTGTGTTTGTGTGTGTGTGTGTGTGTGTGTGTGTGTGTGTGTGTGTGTGTGTGAGTGTGTGTGTGTGTATGAGTGTGTGTCGTGTGTGTGTGTGTGTTGCCTCCCTTCTATCACTCATACCAATGCGTGGGGCACAGGTTCCTTCTCTCTTGCACCCTTTGCTTCCTGATACGTCAAAGCATGCTTTGATGACAAACGTTTTGTTATTGTTGAAGTTGTGTTATTGTATGCCAAAACATCATTACAAATCATACAAACAACAGCACTGTGTTTTCCAGCTTATAAAAAAAAGTCCGAAGCTAAAGATCGACGTCCAGACATGATGACTCATTGATGTCAACTCAAAACACACATTATGATTTACAAAAGAATACGTGTACAGTGAAGATGAAAGTGCAGTGAAATTCAAAAGCAAGCGTTCAATGTTCAAGACAAAAGAAAGAGAACAGGGAAGTGAATGATTTCTTTGGGATGGGCGTGGTGGGGTAACAACATTCAAAGTAGCAGTAGCCTATGTGCAGCGTGGTTTCGTACTGGGCTACACGGTAGACACGACAAGTAGGCCTAGGCCTAGTTTAGCATTCACTCATAGCGGGGAAGAGGAAGAGGAAGGTGGGGGTGGGGTGGGGGGTTGCGTGAAACAATTGATATAGTGACTGACTGGCAGTTTCTTGCCCCTACTTCACTAGGCCTACAAAAGTTCGTCCCGGGACAGACCCATCTGACGTTTGAAACCTTTGAACTTGAGTGTAATGTACCGCACCTATTATTGGGACGTGACATTTTTGTTGCATTGAGTCCCGAGCAGTTGTGAATTGCTACAACATCGGTGGGACAGTATGACCTAATACTGTTTTCACCTTCTCTTTTTTCTAATAACAGAGCACAGGCACATGCAACCTCGATTCATCCACTTTGAAGACAGTCTTGAATCTACTTGTATCAAGGCCTAGTGCACTCTAAATTCAAATAGTGAAAAAACAAACATAAGTAAACAAAACTCACAAAAATTAATTTAACTTGGTAATCGAGCATTAAATTGGGTTCCACGCAAAATTTTTGCTAATTTTGGGTCGCTGATCACGAAAATCTTATTATTTCTTAAATTTGACCAATATTTAAGAATTTTTTTTAATGCATTTTTAACTCCGCCTAGGCCAACATCAAAGAAGCCGCCTTATGCGCCTGATCAGTCCTGTCCTGGTGCGGTGTCTGTTTTGAAGCGAAAAACTCGACTGTGGGGTGGGACAGCCCTAGGCTAGGCCTATCCCATGACAGGACTGTAATAGTGATGTAGAGATTTAGATTGTTGCCTCGATTCTCGGAGTCTAGGCTAGGAATCAGGCCAAAAAAGGGAGACGGGAGACATCGACCCTGGGCGGATTCGAAGTAGAGTCTGGGAACAAGATCGATTCTTTGAGTCCTCATTTGGACTCGAAAGAATCGATCCCAGAGTCGATCTTGCCCTGGCCTGGTCTGCACGGTGGGTGCCCCGCCTTTTGATACGTGAGCAAAAGAAGTAGAAGTTTGAGTCCTGCAAAACTCTCCTTCGAATTGAGTCCAATGACACAAATATCTTTAAAAACATGGTGACTATGGATGAAACATTGATTTATCATTTTGATCCAGACCAAGAAATGTCCCCCCATGCAATGGAAAACCCCTTCTTCTCCCTCACCAAAGAAGGCAAAGTTAACACCGTCAACTGGAAAGGTCATGCTGTCGTGTTTCTGGGATTGTGAAGGTATCACCATGACTGACCACCTGGAAAGGGGAAAAACAGACACAGGAGACTACTATTCGGGTTGGCTGATAAAATTGCGGTCCGAATTGGTGAGAAAAAGGCGTGGAAAACTCCGTCATAAGGTCCTCCTGCTGCATGACAACGCCCCTGCGAACAGGGAACAACAAACAGTCCAGACAGCAGAACAGTGCGACTTTGAAATCCTGCCACACCCAGCTTATTCACCAGACCTAGCCCCTTCAGACTTTTTTCCTGTTTCGTAATCTTTAAAAAAATCACTGAAAGAATGTCGTTTCCATGACAACGAGAACGCCATTGAAGCTGTAGAAGACTGGTTAGGGGCCCATTCTAGGTCACAAATGTGTTTCTCTGCATGGTGGCTATGCAGAGAAATGATAGTATGAGTGCCAAGTTACAAAGCTCTATATTTATTCCTCCATATTATTTAGACCAAAGACTTCCTGAACCCCCCTCGTATATTGCGAAAGTGACGAACTGGACGATGTGGGCCCAAGTGTTGAATACAGAGCACACCCTGACCAGGTTTGGTGCAAGTATTACTCTGAACAAAGATCAGCCATGAAAGAAGGTCGAACTCTTTTCTAAAAAGAACAACGATTGCTGTGGGAGGCCAAAGTTTGCCTACATAAACACAGTTAGCATGAACGCTGCAAAATTGAACAACGAAAAAGAACTTTGCAATATAATAATATGTCATTGCATATTTCTACAGTGCCCTGGCAGAGAGATGTATTGGCCGTGGAGATGATGAGGTCATTGTTGAAGATGTTTACAATTATGTTGAGTGAATCTGACTCATTGCCTTGTGATCTTAACTCAATAAGGAAACGAGTCAACCTAAAGGAAACATTTTGAAAAGCCCACAGTTAAGTTTCAAATGCGGAGGTGCTGTAGATGTCCAAATTCAATAACAAGATTACGTTTTGAAAACTATCACTAGTCATGCACTTCTTCAACATTAGTATGCCATGTTTTGACACCCAGCATGTTCAACACCAGATGAACAATTTCTTTTGGTTACATCAGTACACATAACTGTGCTAATTGCTTTATTATTCATGAGTTAGATGTTCTAGTGCTAAACTTTTTAGAATATAGAATTTAAATTTATTTCCCCAGTATGAAGTTCATTTTTTGTCCTGAAAAGTTCAAAAATGCTTAGAAGAATCTAATTACAAAGAGGTTATAATGGTACTAGAGGTCGCAGCTGTGATGTCACCCGCGTAAACTCACAATGGCTGTGCGGGCCCACTCAGCTCGCTTTGTCACCATTTTTGAGAGGATTAGAAACAGCGATGTCACCCTGTGTGTCCCACGCAGCGCCTAGGTCTCCATAGAGTTTGAAGCTCAGTTCAGTTTTTTTTTAAAGTTTTCTTTTTGTTTGCTGTTGTCGCTTTATCATTTTACATACACGCATACACAATACCGCACCTGCTGACCGATTCTGGGAAACATAAATGCACTTAATTGCGGACTGTAAATGAACAGAGAGGTGTGATAATTAATATGATGTATTGCTTGTTTTTCCC